ATGAGCTTGGGTGTAGGAAAGAGGTGTGGGGGGTGAAAGGATTCACAACAGATTGACTGAGTGGGGAGCAGAACAGGCTGAAGTTGGGTGGAAATCTTCCATTCTAATAGAATTATATGTCCAAAAATTATTTTTCCAATATCACTATGCTGATGAATGATGAAGGCCCATGCTCCACAGTCACTAGGTATCTCTTATCTCAGCTCAAGAGCATGACAGAAGAGATGTTGGTGAGTTTTTTTAATGTTTCTTTTAAAACACAATTCTTGCTGTCAGAGTACCACTTTTAAAGGATTGTTATCTGGATGATTTATACAAATTTTCAAAATGTTACCAAATAAGCTAAGCTTCCTTCTTCACTGAGTTCACAAATTGGATTTTACTTGTCAAGAAGTGAGAAAAGAAAACCAGAAGGGGTCAGTATTTTAAATGTGATTGATTTTCTCTGAGGAAATGGTTGACATGATACATTACTGCAATAAGATACCTACATTTTTGTTATAAATCATACTTTTCAGTTCATGCTTTCCCATCTAAAAATCATGTAAACCTTTCTTATACAAACATCATGGCCACTTTCTAAAAAGACTACATGAATATCATTTTCAGTTTATTTTTGAAATGATAATAAAGTTTACTTTCAAAGAGCTCTCCATTAATAGAATTAGCTCATGTTCATCTATACATTCATCCTGTCTTTTGAAAACGATGACTGTCTTTTGAAAACGTCTTCAGGAATAGAATGTGTGAGAGTCTTATATAGCTTATATCTTCATGTTTTACAAATTTGGTAGAACATTCTAATTTTGTATAGATAATTCAAAGATCACTCAACAGGCATATAAGGAACTCATACTTTTGAGACCTTTCTCCTGTCATCACTATGCCTTTCAATAAACTTTTCCTGTAAGTTAGACTGTTTTCATGATTATATATAATTCTATACATACATTAATTTTTAAAGGACTATTTTATATCTATATATTTTATATATATTTTATATATATTTTATATCTATTGACATTACTTTTTAATATCAAGAAATTTCCATTAAATAAAATACAGATTTTCATTTAAGTGTCACATTTACAAAAATGTGCAAGTTTTGTATGTGCATCCATTTATATTTACATTACCATTTACATTACCATTTACATTACCATTTACAATGCTAAAATTCAGAATACTATTTAGGCTACCAATTTAATACAAATATGAATGATTTCTAGTACAACAAATGAATACACAGCCATGGACGGCACAATGTATCTTTGAGCATTGTTCCTCTCAGCTGACAAATGCAGAGACAAGTCTAGTCTTGCCAAAATAATAGAATCAAAAAATTTTATTTGCCTCTCAGCTCCTTTCCCACTCCTTTCTCCCTTCCACTACCATCTTTTGTTTCTGCAATACTGCCTGCTTCCTTGCTTTCTAAATACTCTTTGCAAATGCAAATAAGGATCTGCAATCAATCCTTTATATTTTGAATATAATGCATACATAGCAATGTATTTACTCTCTCTTACTTTTGTATTTAAAACATATCTTACTATGGAATAAAAGGATTGCCTTTCATTAAAGGAAGATTATATGGCAGGAATTTGGTGAGGGCGATTTAGAAGACAAGTAAGAGAAATGTTTTTGTACGTGATACAGTAATAGAGCTATCTCTGATGAGAAAATTACTATAGTCTTTTTCTGGAATCAGGGGCAGGAGATAAAAGAAAGGTAGTGGCTGGAACTGTAATTTTTTCCTTTATCTTTAACCCCAAGACTTATAGATGTCAAGAAATTAGAACCATTTTCTGTGCCTATTGCTTGAGTATCTCTCTACTTTATCATCATAATCACACAGCCAGGGCACTGAGAATTTTCAGTTGCTTCAAGCAGCTCCAAAATCATTCACACAGACCAGGTAACAGAACAGGGATCATAGAATAGCTATTCAAAGAAAAGAATAGGAGACAGCCACTATGAAGTTGTTTTCCAATCACATGTGATGACATGAAATCTTATACTCATCATGACTGATATGTCAGTTTGTGTCCTGTCAATATGCTACACAGTAATGTGGTTCTAAAGCCATTCCTTTTATAGATGAAAGGTGATGGGAGAGAGCAGAGGTCACTAAAGAAGAACCATCATTGCTAGAGCATAAGAAAGTACCTATTGTGAGGCTTATTTTTATTTTTTTAACTTATTTTTATGTATACAAGAACTGATGTGTAAGCCAGAGGTGCGGGGGCGGGGGGTGGGGGGATAAGAGGATTCACCAGAGACAGAGTGAGAAGCAGAACAGGTGGATCTACTGAAATACACTGCTGAGGGGAGCAGCAGGCAAGTCAGAAGAGGTCTGCTGCACCATGTGGGTCAGCTCCCTGGCTGGCTGGGGAATCGAACTCGTGCTGTGGTGGCTGGCAGCAGCTTGAAAGCACTGTTTTTAACCCCTGCACCACCAGGGAGGCCCCCCATTGTGAAGTTTATATAAGTGCATGATCTTCGTGATGATGACGGAAATGCTATGGGATGTTAAGGGAAATGTATTAAATTGGGAGGGAAAAAAAGTAAAATTATGCTTTGGTTATATAAAAGCAATACTAATCAAAATAAAGCATGTGAATTGTCTTACATTTATGCCCAATTACCGCAAACCAATACTTATTAACTTTTCTATAAATTGAATTTCAAATATGAGTGCTCAGTCCTTTTGGTTTACTGGTTTTGAACAACTATTTACTAACCCCTTCTTACATATCAACCACCGATTATGTATTTTCTGTTTTATTTTGTATTTTACTTGTATGAATAAAAACAATAAGGCGATCTCTGTTTCCATGGGGGCTACAGGCTTACTGAAGACAAAGATAAGTGCCAAATGTCAAGTAGAGAAACTGGAAATCAATAATTTTTAAATGAAAGTAAGGACATAAGGGGACTATCAATCCCAGTCCTAGGGAGTCAAGTTTCATAAGGTAATACCAGAACAGATTCCTGAAGAATGAGGAAAGTTAGCCATCCTCCCCCAAAGTGGACTCAGGGGCAGGAGAGTTCTTTCCACTCTAAAACTGAAAGCAGCAGGAAATGCACTGGTCTTAGAAATGAGAGTCTGCATGGAGAGTGTGAGGAGCTGCTCAACAGAACACAATGCAAGAAGAATCTTAAAGGAGAAGATGAGGCTGGTGAAGGAAGAAAGAACTATATATATAAAGAGGACTTGAATACACTAAGGAGTTTGAAATCTTCATAGTAATGAGGAACTGCTAAAGGATTTCCACAATGACAAAGATATGATCAGACTGACATTTCAAATCAGATTTGGCTTTATTCTGGTGAGAAAAGCAGTAGATCTCACACCTGGAGATATGAGGGAAATTAGGAGCCAGTTGCAATCATATAGGTGACAGATACTAGTGGCTTAGGAGAAGTTGCTAAGGATGGAGAGAATTGTAATAGAATTGAAATGTCTTAGTGACTGAACATAAGAGAAAGGAGAGTTAGAGATGGATTTCTAACTTAAGCAAACAAATAGTAGTATAGCAATGCTGAGAGAGAAGAGAGGAAAAGAAACAAGTTGGCAAGGTTTCTGTTTTGATATTTTTTTATTTTGCCAATTTGAGGGAAGACAGGAGAGTTTGAAATTATCAGTTCCCGCTTGAAAAGTTGAGTTTTATGTGTCTGACGGGTTTTCAAATGTAGCTATGTGATAGTTAACTAAATACATAGGTCTAAGATGAATGATCTAAGCTGAGACACATATTTAAGAGATAACATCGTCTATCAGTAGAAGTCATCAGACAGAAGAACCCATGAGCAGCCTAAGGAAACCCAAATCAATCATGACAGTGAGCTGATACGTAATCTGGTACAAAAACAAGACTATGGATTAGTCTTGGTTGTGATACTTAGGTAGGAGCATGTGTTCTCTGGCTGTGTATCAATCAGAACTTGGAAGTAATATTTTATATATTTCTGGTAAATGCCATTTGGGATAATTATTATGTTTACCCATGGGAAGGGTTACATAGTCTATTTATAGAAATTCCTACCCAGTCCAGCATTCCTATGTGATAATAAAGTACTCACAAGTATTTAAAAAAAAAAAGAAATTAGGCAGCAGCTCTCCTGTCTGCCTGTGACTATGCAGGCATTTCTCTTCACCACCTTCTCCCTTTGCAAAGCAGCAGAGGCAGCTCTTCTCCCAAGGCTGCCGCCTATGTCTGCGCAGGCCTCTCTTTTAACAAACCTGTCCCTCTCCAAGGCAGCTCTGACTGCCTGCTTGTGTGCACACAAGCATCCTTCACTTCTCTTCCCTTTTTATAATAAACCTGCCCCTTCTAAATAAAAAAAATAATTAGAAGTAAAGCACATTGTGAGAAATGTGTATAAATTGCTACTCATTCTCATTCCACAGGTAAGAGATAATGACTGATGAGGCACCACTTATCTGTCAATATAGTTTAAATATTGCAGAGAATTTTTCTTCAGCATTAAACAACAGGAATTACTTTGGAATAGGGGATAAGTACAAATCGCCTTTGAAATCAGGATAGACTGCCTCAAATACTGCTGTTTTAAAGGAAACCAAGTATCTCTAGGTGTTCATGCCCTTATGGAAAATTCTTAGGGAGGAGGCAAGTGTTAACAATAAGCTATAATGTCCTAAGAGGCTGACTCATCTAGGACAGTGCACCTATTAGCAAAAAATTTATCCTGGCCCAAAGCCAATTTTACAGAGGGGTTGCTCAGATTCTGGTCAAAGAAAGAACAGATGGCAAACCCTAGGTTAGAGATGGTCCCAAAAGGTAAACTACTAAGAGGGCAAAGGAAAAGAAGAGTATAGTATGAGATATGAAAGACAAGAGGTTGGGAATTTTCTGGATCCAGCCTTTGAAGGAATACAAGGGAAACCCTCCATTTGCAGGGTTCTCTGTGTCATGTTTTCTCATGTTTGAGTAAATTAACATAAAGATAAAATAAACTTTTGTATAAATGGCCCTCACCTTAAGAGTTCTGTCTGTAGAATAGGCAACTTCCTTCTTTGGTTTATCCTATAGGCTGCCCTCTGAGGATCAGAAGAAAATAACCAACTTCGATCATTTGAACATGGAGCATCAACTAACACCTGGAGAAGAGAAAGGACACATAATGCAGACATGCATTGAATTTAAATTCTAGGACTCAAAGTAGATGAGAAAGCAATATAAAACATGACAAAATAGCAAATAATGAAAGCATTTCTTTAAAAACTAAACACACCATGAGAGTTTCTTCTTTATGATATTTCCTCACTAATACATTTCAGAAAAATTCCTGTGTACTTTCAGTGTTTGGAGGGGGAGTGAGAGGACCAAAAGTCTACTAATGTCTACTAATAGTTCATTTTCTTGATGACTACAGCAAAAACTTTTACAAGAGTTACTCATTTCGAATAGACATTAGTGTATTTCTGCATTCTCAGCATTTATTTTTAAGAACTAATATTTCAATTTCAGTTTCCAAAAATGCTCTTCTTCTTCAACTGTCATACTCTGATAGGAAATGCTACTAAATTAAAGCAGCACAGAGCACATGTTTCTGAACCAATCCAAATAATGCCTGATCTTTTCCTGAGTATCTTTAAGGTACCTGGAAATAAAAAACACTCGTAATTCCCAAACCCAGTGCTTCCTCTGAAACATGCTGATCAGCAAACAAAAGCTGTTTCCATGTTCACTTTATCACAATTTCCCAGGATGCTGAGAAAGTCTATCAGGCTATGTGTGGAAGCAGATGGTAAACAAGAACAAAGCAGCACAACAGTGGTGTCATCGGGAGCCCATCAGTTTGTCATAATGTAATAAAAGTACCTTGTCAAAAGTCTCAGGCTGGGCATCTCCCACTTCTCTGCCATCCAGTTCAGACACTTTAATTACGTTTACCAAAGGATGTGGGATGAAAGATTCTAATGTCTGTCTCAGCCACCGGAACCGCAGACTATCATATTCATTACAATGAAAGTAACCTAAATAGAAAGGATTTAAAAGTGTTTAAATTGTGCGATGGAATTATTAATGAGTTTTACTTCTGACCAAATAAATTTCAGAGAAATACCAATTCATCATAATTATGTAGAAATAGGGCTCAGAGGTAAACAGTAAGATTATCTTGTGCTTTAAAAAGGGAAACATGCACATCATGTAAAACATTTACAATGGTGTATCTACACAGCCTCTTACTCAAATTTAATTTTGGAGGTAAAAACAGGTAATTGCATATTACTGAAGATACTAATCCTGCAGATACAGTTCTCCTGCTAAAGCTCATAAGAGTAAAACATATATTCTGCTGTACGTATGTAACTCCTAGGATAGACTATCATTTTAAATGAGGGAATTATGTGTATATAGAAAAATAATGTGGTAGTTAAGATTAAATGTGATACCTTTGTGACATCTAACATAGTATGCAAAACTAGTAATAAATGCTTATCATAGTCATTTGTTGTGTTATTTGCTAGACACTGTTCTAAGATTTTATATGCAGTAACATATAATACTCACAAGCCTATGCAGGAAGAACTGTTGTTATTATTTCTATTTCACTTATGAAGAGACTGAGCCAAGAATGGTTAAATAATTTGCTCAGCTTCACACAGCAGCAAATTCAGACAGCTTAGTTCCAGAGCCCTACCGACTCTTAAGTTAACATGCTATATTGCTTCTCAATATAGAAGGCACTTATGAAATGTTCTTCCTTTACTTAAATATAGAGATTCATATAGTTATAGCTATATAATACTATAAATTATCTATATTACATATAGTATCATTACATAATCTCTATCTACATATAAATACTTCTAAATGAATAAACTACAAAGCAGAACATTAAAATGACTTAAAATCCATTCTCTTCACATAACCACCACTGAATATTTTAATAAATAATCATACCATATCTATTTGACCATATACCTGCATATAAAATTTATACTACATAGTATTTTTTGGTGATGTCATTTTCTTCTTTTTTTTCCATCTATCCCCTCCATCAACTGCTTAATTGCCCAATCAAAAGGAACATAAATTATCAGACAGATTGCATATATATGTAGCTATATAACATAACCCAAGATATATAGATTATATATACCAACAATGGGGTTTTTATATATATTTAGCTGCACAAAACATTATTATTGTCTTTTTTTTTTTAAGATTTATTTATTTATTTATTTATACAAGCACTGGGTACAGTCAGAAGTGCGGAAGGGTGAGAGAATTCACCAGAGCCAGAGGGGAGAGCAGAGCTGGCAGACTGACGAAGTGCACTGCTGAAGGGAGCAGTGGGCGCGGCAGGAGAGGTCTGCGCGCCATGTGGGACCCTCTCCCTGTGGCCGGGGATCGAACAGGTGCTGCAGAGGCTGCAGGCAGCTTCGCAACCCAGTGCTCAACCACTGCGCCACCAGAGAGGCCCATCATTGTCTTCTATAGTCAATGACTATTAGATTTTCCCCCATGTATCTGCTATCATCTTTGCTTTTTTTTTTCTTTTTATATCTTCTATCTTCCATCTAGGATGTGTTTCTTTTTTCCTGAAGGACATCATTCAAAATTGTTGGTGAGAAACACTTATGCCTTCTCTCTTTGTCTAAAAGAAATGTTGATTTCACTTCTGTTCTTTAAGGCTATTTGGGTGAATATATTTCAAGATTGACAAGCAGCTGTTGTTAACACACTGAGAACATCATTCCTCTGAATGCTGGTTTCCATTATTACTCTCAAAGTTCAATCTTCAGTCTGTTGTCCCTTTGAAAGAAAACTACTTGTCCTTTCTGACTACTATTGAGTCTTTTCTTTATTTCCAGTGTCCTACAATTTCACTACAATGGTCCACATGGGAAGAGTTGCGATTACAAAATTGAGAGGGTACTCCCATTCCTCCCCCACCACCATAGCTGAAGATAGACAGTCCTTCTAGTCCCTTGAGAGGATAATTTCTTCCTACTTTATCTTAAATGGAGGGAGCAGCATTTTGGAATTGTAGCTTTATGTGAAGAAGCAGCTGAGCAGGTGCTCTGCCTGGACTGAACTGGTTTCACTTTTTGTTCCTGAATTTTCATGAAGCACTGGAAATCAACATTCAAATTTTTCAGATTAAGAAAATGTTCTCAAGTGAAAAGCCGGTGTCAATGTTCAATTTACCTTTTGTCTCTTAGATTTTTAACACTAAGTACTGGAGATCGTTGATGCATTTTACTTTTTTTTTTTTTATATCGAGACATGTTTCATTTATTTATTTGTTTGTTTGTTTGCTTTGTTTATACAAGCACTGGGTACAGTCAGAAGCGCGGGAGGGTGAGAGAATTCACCAGAGCCAGAGCGGGGAGCAGAGCAGGCAGAAGGACCGAAGTACACTGCTGAGGGGAGCAGCAGGCAGCAGGAGAGGTCTGCGCGCCATGTGGGACCCTCCTCGGGTGGCCGGGAAGCAGCCGGGGATCCAACCAGCGCCGCAGAGGCCGCAGACAGCTTCTCAACCCAGAGCTCAACCGCTGCGCCAATGGGGAGGCCCCATTGATGCATTTTAAAAACAGTGGTTTTCTGGGCCTCCCGGTGGCGCAGCGGTTGAGCGCTGGGTTGCGAAGCTGCCCGCAGCCTCTGCAGCGCCAGTTCGATCCCCGGCTGCTCCCCAGCCACTGGAGGAGGGTCCCACATGGCGCGCAGACCTCTCCTGCCGCCCACTGCTCCCCTCAGCAGTGTACTTAGGTCCTTCTGCCTGCTCTGCTCCCAGCTCTGGCTCTGGTGAATTCTCTCACCCTCCCGCGCTTCTGACTGTACCCAGTGCATGTATAAACAAACAAACAAACAAACAAATAAATAAATAAGACATGCCTCTATAAAAACAAAACAAAACAAAACAAAAAAACAGTGGTTTTCTTTAATACTATATCCTACCTTTTTTTTCCAGAAGGGTTGATAGGACACCTAGTTTGTCATACCATAGGAAACACAAGTTTTCATTATTGAATATCCCTCAGAGCTTTACACATACCATGCAATGCTTGCACACAGCATGTGCTCATTAAATGTGGCTGACTTTATTACAATGCATGTTTCTAATCAAGAATATTTAAATTGGTACACCTGAAAAGCAAGTTACCTTTCATTAAATTATAGATTTAGCCATGATTATCAACTCAACATTTTAAAATTGCTCCCAGTTAAAATACAACTTTATATAATATTACTATTTGACCAAGATATAAATTTATTAACCAATCTATGAGACTTAGATTGGTTAAACTATAAAAATATGCTATATAAGTAATCTACTAAGTATATACTTAGCATAAACTAAGTCATAGACTGACTTATTCCATTGAGAGAGAATTAACTTTAGGTCTAAATTGTGAAAAAAAATAAACCAAATCTTAATTCCCCCTCACCCCCATCTAAACAGAAAGGGGGGTGATTAATAAATCCCTGAAAAAGTCATTGAAGCTTTATATCAATACATGGCACAATTTGGTCCATGAAAAGGGACTGAAACTGGTAACTTCATTCATTAATTTCTCTACCCCTACCTTGGGAAATAAAATAATTCTGCCTGTTTTCAGTTCTGCTAATTACTATTAGAGCCACAAGCCATGATTATGATAGCTTTATATGTCCCTCTCAATGCAAAAATTGGAAAAATGATACTGTCCATATAGGCAAAGTGCTGTGAAGGCTTATGGTAAGGTTCTTTGAGTTATCTGGAAGCAATTTTACAAATTCACACACACACAAAAGGGAATATGTGGTTGACAATACTCTAAAAGAAACTTGAGAGCATTACACTTTAATGTTTTAGTTTAGCACCTGCAATGGACTGGGCACATTGCAACATGGTACAGACTAAAGATAAGTGAGTCTGTCCCAATATCCAAGAAACTCACTGAGGCTAGAGAAGGCAGCAGCTGTACAACAATGGAACGTAGGACAAAATCAAGAACACAATAGTGAAAGCCTGCACTCAGATCCCAGCTCTGCACTTACTTGGGGCAATTTATGTGTCTCGGTCCCATTTTTAAGATGGGAATAATAATATCCAGCTAATGAGGTTGCAGATTAAATGAGGTAATGTACACTAGTGATAGTCACACTGCTTCTCAGAGCCCTAAGGCTTCAGAAAGATGATTATATGAAGATACAACCTAAGATCTCAGAAGAGGAGACTACTGAAAAACATTTGAAAAACACAGATTTATGCAATATGATCAAAACAGTCCTTGGCACAAGTAAGTGTTCCAAAATAGCAATTACTGCAATTATTACTGCACAGAAGATGCACTTAAAGTAGGAGTTCAGGGAGGCTTTCCAAAAGAGATGATTCCTAAGCTGAAATCTAGAGAATGAAAAGGAGTTAGCAGCAGAAAAGATACGAAAGCAGTACCTTTCAGGTGTGCAAAAGGTCTGGAGGAATGAGGGAATAAATAAAATGCAGTAAAGAGTCTTTTTCTCATGTACAAAGGCAAGGGAAACACAAATAAAACATAAACAAATGGGACTACATCTAACTGAAAATCTTCTGCAAGGCAAAATAAACTACCAGTAAAACAAAAGACTTCCAATTGAATGAGAAAAAATATTTGTATACATCTGACAAAAGGCTGATATCCAAGATCTACAAAGAATTCATATAACTCAACAACAAAAACAATAGAACAAATAACCCAATCATTAAAATGGGCCCCACAGGTACTTCTCAAAAGAAGATATACAGATGGCCAACAGGCACATGAAAAAATGTTGACCATCACTTATCATCAGGGAAATGTAAATCAAAGCCACGATAAAATATCATCTCACATCATATTAAGCAAAAATTGCTGACCTGGATGCAGAGAAAAGGAACCCTGGTACACTGTTGGTGGAATGCAGACTGATCCAGCCTCTCTGGAAAAACAGTATGGAGGTTTCTCAAAATATTAAAAATAGATCTACCATGTGATCCAGCAATTTCAATCCTAGATAGCCACTTGAAGAATGCAAAAAATAATAATTTAGGGCCTCCCTGATGGCGCAAAGGGTTAAGACTCAGCCTGTGGAGCTGTTCGCAGCCTCTGCAGCACGAGTTCGATGCCCGGCCTGGGAGCAGCCCACATGGCGCAGCAGACTTCTCCTGTCTCGCCTGCTGCTGCCCTCAGCAGTATATTTCAGTTAATCTGCCTGTTCTGTTCCCAGCTCTGCCTCTGGTGAATCCTCTCACCCCACACACCTCTGGCCTGTACCCCAGCTCTTGTATGCATAAATAAATCCTTAAAAAAATAATAATTTAAAGGGATCTATGTACTCCTATGTTCACTGCAGTCCTATTAACAATAGTCAGTTAAAATAACCTAAGGACAGAAGAATGTCAGCAATAAAAAAAGATGAACTTCTGCCATTTTCAACAACATGGATTGAACGGAGGGGATTATGCTAAGCAAAATAATTCAGAAGGACAAAGACAAATAACAGATGGTTTCAGTTACATGTGGAATATGGAGAAATAAAAGATCAGACAAAACCAAACCAATAATAAACCTTAGAAATCTGATGGTGGAATTGAGGCTACAATAAGAAGGAAGGAAAAATACAGTAGGGAGCTGGCACAACGAACTATGGTAGAGGACTATGGGTGGCTCAGTGGTGGGTGTGGTATGAGGACATGCATCTGAGAATGTGTGATCCTGTGTCTCTGAATTGCATACAGTGCTTTAAACCTGTTACCTAATAATAATAATAAGAAGAAGAAGAAGAAGAAGAAGTAATAGTTGTAGTAGTAGTAGTAGTAGTAGTAGTAGTAGCAGCAGCAGTAGTAGTAGCTATGGTTCTATTTCCCAGAAATTATTCTTAAAATAAAATCATGATAGAATAAAGAAATAGGGAAAAAAGGAATTTTTCTAATCTTCTCTAGCAGCAAACTAGATGGCAAAAAGGTAGACAGCAAAGAGAATTTTAGGACGGTAGGGATTTAGAGCTCAGCAAGAAAGGTGATTATGCCACTCCAGTAAGCTGGGTCATTCTTAGTATGTTAATGCTTTTCTATTAACAATCAGATCTGTTTGCTTTTTTCCTATCAATAGAGAGGATGAGCTGACAAAAATAAACAAACAAAAACACCACACAGTCTATCTCTGCTACAGATGGGGGAAGCTGGACCAACAGAAAAGTAGACTCACTTTTAGTCATCCTAAAACATAAACTATTTATCATTTAAAGCTATGAGCCTCTTGACCCAGAATAAAGGCCACCACTATCTAAAGAAATTTGGTGTATAAACTTACACTTAGGGCAGCCATCATTTTAAGTTTTGCTTATAAAAGCTTTGATTAGCATTGCTTCTGCATTCCAAATTCAAGCACTGTAGCTAACCTCATTTGGGCTTTGAGCAGCAGCATGAAGACATCTGTACTTCTTAGTAAGCCATTATCATTAGTCCTACTTAGAGAAAAGCTACTTTAGTTGGAATACTGCCTCTAGTTCATTGCCCTTGATGAAAGAACAGGAAGATTCTTCCTAGAATATATCAGTTTGCTTTTGGATTCCTATTTAAATCACCTTCCCTTCCTCTCATGTAAAATATTTATACCCTGCTAAATAATGAGGCTAATTTAGGATTAAAATGTGCTCTCCTCAAAATGGTAACCAAATTTGATATTTCTCCTCCATCTTTTACAATACTAAAAATTCTATATTCAAAATTGATGTAACAGTCAAAATATGAATACTGTCAAATCAGAAAGAATGCAAGTAAAAGCAAATAATACTTATAGCACACATTTCCATAAAATTTCACCTCAAATTATAAAAATAAAATAACCATATAAAATAATCTCTTTTGTTGTGATTTCTCACATAAAATACAGCAAGCTTGAATAAGTTTTAAACACAATTCTAAAACAGAGTATATTTTCTCCCAAATATACAATTAACTGATGTATTTGTACTAATACCTAGTAGAACTTGATTCATAGTTCGATAAAAATTTTTGTGATCTATTTCAACAGAAAAACTCTCAATGGAGGATATGAGTTAGGTACCTTCCAACTGAGTTATGCATGACTTAGAGATACACAACAACCTTCTAAGGGATAGTGGGGTTTAGACAGTTTCAAAAGGATTAATTTCAGGTCAGCAATTCCCTAGAGGAATAGACCACGTTTTGCCAAGGCATCTCCTTTCATAATGGCCCTTCACTGCTTTGCAAATGAAGGACAATCTTCCATCCACTAATTACAACAAATCATGCCTCCAAAGCACCAGTCAAGGGCAGTTCCACATGTGTCAGTGCCTGGAATGAATCAAACAACTAGGCAACTGAGCCTTTTGTAGTTGAGATGGTTTCCAATCCTTTACTTCAACAAAATAAAAAAAATTGTCAAAAGAGTGCTCACCTAAGAAGTCATAAATACAATGCTTGATGACAGGTATCTATTAATCTGTGGTTGTAACTCAGAAGTTTAAATATTTACTAGTGAACTACTACAGCGTTATTTCCTCCATCTCCATCATATTATCTATGTGAACAACAGTGTTTGCATTTACCAAAACAAAACCTCTAAGTAACAGAATCCAGAGAGAATTGACTGTACCTGGTCTCATTTAGCCAAAATATTTATCCAGGGAAACCTGAAGTAATTAAAAAAAAAAAAAAAAAAGCCCCATCATCTCATTAAGAAAATCATTTTTGATGAATGTTGACACATTTCTAGCAGATGCTTATAAAAATCCATATTACATACATTGCATCATTTTTGCACTATTAGTCACATTTTAAATCTTTTAGGACAGCATGATCCAATACTATATCCACTTGACACATGTGACTGAATGCTTAAAATGTGGCTAGTCCAAATGGAAATGTACTATAAGTGTAAAATTATTTGGAATTTGGAAGACTTTAGAAGATGAGAATGTAAAATACTTCATTAATAATTTTTCTATTGATTATATGTTGAGATAATATTTTGTATATATCAGGTTATAAGGTATTACCAAAATTAATCTCATCTGTTTCTACTTTTATAAAGAACCTACTCAAAAACTTTATGTATATAATTTGCATTATATTTTTATTGGTGAGAACTGCCTTAGTACCTCACAATCTAATGATACCAAAATAAATAAACAAATAAATCCTTTGTCATTGGCTTATCAGAACTCATATTACCTGGTAAATTTGTGTTCACAAAATGTAGGTTTGTTTCTTATTACCTTTTAAAATAAAGAACCTGGAAAAAGATGCTAGTTATACTCCTCAGTTAAAATTTCCATTCTTCTCCAATCTGTCTTGTTCTCAGACTTTCAAAGTCTGAAATGCATTCTTACATTTCTCTTCATATATTTAAAAAGTATTTTGTAACATCTAGCTAGTCAAAGGTTGTACTGAAGGAAAAGCACAATACCTGGATAAGCACATTGCAGCAGAGCTATGGATTTGCCTCCAGGAGCAGCACACATATCCAGAACCTTCTCTCCATCCCTTAACTCCAGAGCCAGTACTGGGAGGAGAGAGGCAGCATTCAGGAGATAGTATTTTTTTAAATTTCCAACTTGGTGTCTCTCTGAAGGCATTCGGTTAGGAGTTCTACTAAGGTAACATTTCATGGACTTAGGATAGTAGGGCAAAGATCCTTGAAATAGTGTGTGATAGCCCTTCAAGTGTAGATCCTTTTCCAGTTCAAAAGAATAATTGAATCGGTTAAGAAGGACAGCATATTGCCAGCATGATGGAGATGTCAGTATATCCCTAGAAACAAAATGAAAATCAATATTAATATATACACCAAGATAATTCAAGTTATGAATCAGGTCCTACTGAATGTGATCCAGCTTCTACCATTCACTTACCTGTGACTTTCAGAGCCAGGATCAGTATTATAGCATTTTTCTGTTGCTTCAGGCTCCAATAAAGGTTAACCCAGCATGTTATGATCCTGTCTTTATTTAAAACTTTGATATTTTATTCTTCTGCATTAATTTGGGTCACTGAAATATTATTTATCTTAATCACCTCACTTGCCTCAGCCAACTACCTCTCTGAAGAATATCTTGCCATAAAAACATGGCCTGCTTTTACATACCTCCAAATCTGTCAAAATAGACTATAGTCTATCACTCTTTGCAGAGTGTTTTTCTTACAGACAAAATTAAAAACCAGAGACTACTAATATTGTAGAGGAAAGTACTATCATCAAAGTGTGTTTTAAAGAGTGAGCATTAAAGTTTTCCTCTTACAAAAATAAAAATATGGAAGGCTAACTACAGTGAACTCTATACTAATGGAGTTAATGATCCAATCCGTGGCTTAAATCATACAAAACCCAGGATGGTTTAAAAACCACTTATGGATTGATGGAGCAGGCTATCCCCTGCTAGCAGATTTACCTTCCTAATTTTTTATTTGGCTTAACAGTTGCATTTCTTGACAATCAGAAGCTCACATCAACTGACAGATGATACAGCAGGAAATATTTATTTACTAGCTGACCTTTCTAGCTGAGTTATTTGGAAGCCTCATTAACCATGGTCAATTAAATAAATTCCAGCTGCTGCTTACCCTGGAGTTGCCTGTGTGAGGAATGGTTGTATTGAAATGTAACACCTGTGACTTGAAGTGTGCCATGTGAATTTCAATTGGGGGCTAATACCTGAAACTGCTTTCTCCTTTCAGTGGTTCTTACTATGATGCTGTGTGAGAGGAGTTGGTCTATCTGTTTCAGCCATTCTGGAAGATGATAAATCCTTTAACAGCAGCCTTTGCAAGAGACTGCTGGGTCCTACCCCTAGAGTTTCCGATTCAGTACGTCTGATGGGAAACTGAGAATGTGCATTTCTAGCAAGCTCTTGGTGATATTGAAGCTGCTGATCCCTAGAACCACACTTTGAGAAACAATGCTTTAAAAATAGACCCTACAAAAATCAACTCCTCTTTAATAGGCAGAAATTTTACAGTTCCTTTCCCTTTTATTTATTCTATTTCCCCATATAACTTTATCCTTATATATTTTTGTGCTCGAAATCCTTATTACTTATCATACTTCTCTGCCACATACACACATTAAATTTGTTTCTCCTGTGGCCTTAAAACTCTAAGTAATAAAACCCAACTTCTGGATTCATTTACCAATATAATCATAAATATAAAATCAATCAAAACATGTAAATTTGATAATTATTAAACATTAAGAGGGCAAGCTGGCCTCTCTGAAGAGGTACACTACTCTAACAATGGAAAAAGCTTGCCACACTTTGTCTAGATGAGCAGCTCTATTAGGACCAATTCAATGAAGGGATGACTAAGGCAGCTCAGGCTGCTTATTTCCTAACACTCAGAAAACAGGTTGTCTTTCTATGTAGGTCTCAGAAATCCCTGCCCCTACCTGCCAGTGACGTCCCTCCACCAATACACACACATCCTCCAGTGCCTGCCCTCATGGGCTGCTGCCCTGGGGTTGGAAGGCAAGTGGTTCCTTGAGTCTGAATCTTGATGGGTGGGCAAGCAGTCCAGCAGATGGCAGAGGGAGCACACAACAGAAGACTCAAGAAGACATTAGCAGGCACCGAACTCCAGCCGCCTCACAAGATTCATGAGGAGCCTGAAACTGCTCCATTTACTGGTCTCCAAGGCCGGAAGTACAAGTACCCCAGCAGCCAACAGAACTAAAGCCCATAAAGTCAGCCACCTGTAAATGTTTTGCTAGTATATCTACTAATATCAATTTGAGAAAAAAAATCTATGCACCCACTGGCACATTTTAAGTTGACATCAAAATCTTTACCATATGCTTAAGGGTGTAACTTCCAGCATACTGCAAAAATTGACATTTTAAAGTATAAATTACACCAGTTTTTAAAATATAGCCAGTGGAACTTAAATACCAGAGTGATTTTCATACCCATCATTGTCCATTTAAAAATTCATGGACTGACTCCTCTTTAATAGGTAGAAATTTTACAGTTCCTTTCCCTTTTATTTATATTCTATTTCCCCAAATAACTTTATCCTTATATATTTTTGTGCTTGAAATCCTTCTTTTATTACTTATCATACTTCTCTGCCACATACACACATTAAATTTGTTTTCCCTGTGCCCTTAAAACTCTAAGTAATAAAACGGCAACTTCTGGATTCATTTACTAATATAATCATAAATATAAAATCAATCAAACCAACATGCAAATTTGATATTAAAAATTAAGAGGGAAAGACAGGATAGGAATCTCTTAATGAAATGAGCATTTTTTCATAAATCCATAAATGAGCATATTCTTTGAAAAATTGCATATTCTATTTATTGTTATTTATTTTCATATAACTTTTCTGTGATTTTATTTTTTTCTCTTATTATTCTATTCTCTATTACACCTTCCTATCTAATAATGAATATAAAAATCATTTACCTACAAATTACTAAGCATCACTGGTATAAATTACAAAGTCAATTTAAATTTTAATGGTGAAAAACCCACAACTCCCTTTTGATTGTTATGATTATCCACTAGAGGGCAAACATTCAACCATTTTAAAGTCTGGTTTATAAAAGAATAAAGCAATTCAAGGAACTGCATCAAAGGATATTTTGTAGACATTTTACTATTATTCTTCAGAAATTCTAATAATGACCTGATCCTCTCCTTATTCTTGGCATTTTATTTTCCCTTGTCACCTACAAAAGACAATCTATGTCCATTACTGGCTGTCCAAGATACCTCAGATAGGAAGTCCTGAGTGAAAGTTTGTGTTTCTGGTAGACAAAGGCTAAAACACTGCACAAAGGTGTTCCTATGAGATGAAGTGTGTGCATACACTTCTCAGGCTGGGACCCCACACCTTCACAGCAGCACACATGGCAGAGGAAAAGATTCATCTAGATTTTTCTAACCTCTGACTATAAGGGGCTATATATTACTACTACACACGATTTGCTCAGATTAAATTTGAAAATATGTATAAGCAAACATAAGGGCAAAAGAAAAATCTATACACAAGTTCATTTCTATTTTCCTCCACTATCCAACTCCACCCTCTTTGCAGATTTCAGCAATGCAATTATTTTTGTTTCTTCTATATGTGAACTATGTGAACTCTGGGTTAGTGGAGAGAGTGTTCAGAAAAAAATAAATATTTACAGAGAGGCCATACCGAAATGAGATTTCTTGTTGCTGTTGCTTCTACAAAGCACACAAAAGATTTCTAAAGAGAATAATTTTCAACTAATCCTGCCCTCATATAGAGCGTGGGTTATATACAAAATCCATCTTTGAATACCTAGTGTTTAGCACAAGGCCTGGTATATAAACACCGAGTAAATTGTGAATATGTGGATGACTTGCCCAAATCTTAAGATACTAGTTCTTTAAGATCCTGTCTTGTCAAGAAAGAGACAAGCAAAGTAGCAAACTCTGACAATACAATCTTGAAAGAATTACAACAAATCTATGCAATGGAAACACAAAGTGTAGAGCTAATTTTGCCAAGTGTCTATGTGAGGATTTGATGGAAAACTGGTTAATAATAGTAATGAATTAAAATAATACTAATGTATATCAAGGGTTTACTGTAGGTCAAACAATATTTTATATGTTTAGAATATATGAAAGTTATTATATGAAATTGACACCATTTCTCCTATCTGATGGATGAGGATGAGACACTGGAAATGTTACTTACCTGGGTCATATATCACAGAGTACATGTTGGGATTTAAACCTCCACTTTTAACCACTGTACAGAGGGAGAAGAGAGAGGGGCATACTGGTGGAGGGAACAAAATATCTAGTCCCAAACACACTAAGGAGCCTGCCCGGTTTTCATAAGATCTTTAGTTCAAGGTTAACACTGCAAATAGTATGAGGACCAAAGGAGGCCTGTACTCCAGAAATGACAAAATGCAATATGACAGCACTGAGAAGCAAGACAGAGTGGCTGAGCAAACTCCGAGGTTCTGTCATCTGCAAGCTGTATATGCCTGTGCAAGTTACAGGTTAAAGTTAGTCAAGGTAGGAGATACACGGTACAGAATTCAACAAAGTTCAAAGCATGAAGCTGTCTCCCCAGTGGAAATCCGGACTAGGATCATTTTTCCCTGCAAAGATGTGGCAATACATTGCCAACCAGGGAGGCTTACTGTAGCCTTAATGTCTAGGTTTTATTGGGGCTCAGTCACACAGACATGGTTGAGAACTCATTTGAATTATCCTTAGTTTCGTCTACCTGAAGGTCAGAGGTCAAGCTAACATCCAGTCCACAAGCCCCACAATAAATCTCATTGTTCAACTTTTTAAATATTTATTAAATATTTATTTATGTATACAAGAGCTGGGGTGCAGGCTAGAGGTGCGGGGTAGGGGTTGAGAGGATTCATCAGAGTCGGGAGCAAAGAGGCAGATCTACTGAAATACACTGCTGAGGGGAGCAGCGGGCAAGACAGGAGAGGTGTGCTGCGCCATGTGGGTAGCTCCCTGGCCAGGGATCAAACTCATGCTGCAGTGGCTGTAGATAGCTTCATTGTGCTGAGACTCAACCCCTTGCACCACCATGGAGGCCCAACATTGTTCGACTCTCTGCAAAGCCTAACATCCAGGTAAGTAAAGACACTTTTATGAGGCAGGACACTCCAAAGGTTTAGAAATTAACTCCCTGTAGCTGAGGATAAATACCAGACCAACTTTTGAGTAAAGTTCATTCTTTACTACAGAGGTAATGAAGGTGTGGAGAAAAGAGAAACCAGATTGATGATGATGACTTCAACTGCAATGAAGTATGCAAACAGCAACCTATGTTTGGCAAGGTAAAACAGTAATATGCTTTTGAGTTTGCCAGGTACTAAGTGAAGTTACCAGCAAACACTTAAATGTATGGGGGTGAAGCTTAGGATAGGCAGCATAGCTTGAGATAACAGCATTTTGAGGTCAGTTTAATGTCATGTCAAATGAACTCAACTGTAGAACATGTAAGCAAAAATGAGAGCAAACACCAAACCAGGAGAAAAGTCAACTTTGAAGAGCTAAGAGGTGACTCAGCAAGAAAGACTAGTATTTATTATTAAAATAAAAACGAAATTTTCCCCATTATAAAGGAAAATAAAAACACTTAGTAAATTACTTTCTAGGTAGTACACAAAAGCACTTGCTTTTCCCTGGAAGTAAATAGACTACACTAGCATGACAGTATGTTTTGCAAGTAAACAGTTAAAAAACGAAACCAGTCACACCATTTCTGTTCTGATTTCCCCTTCCCATCTTCCAAACTCTGAATACTATCTACGCTGAGAAACACTTCATGTTGCCTATGGCAAATTTAGTACATGTTTATGCAAAACTTAAATTACCATGAAAACCCCACAAAAAGGTAGATGAAGCAGAAGGCACAGCTAATTAAATAGATTTGAGGATCACTGCTCATTTTGTTTAGGGTCAAATAATAATTTATAAATCCGTCTGAGCACATTAAATAGAAAAATAACTCATTACAGGGCATGAGTAGTCAGATTACCATAAAATCTAAAGACAATATACCTCTTGAAATCTTTTTTTTTTTTTTTAATCATCCAAGTGTGCCTAATTACATCCCAGGTATGAGAGGCATATAGACTAAGGATTAGCAGGAGGAGTTTTTGAGTCAGAGTGCCTGGGCACAAATCCCAGCACTGCCACTTAGCAGCTGAGTACAAGTGGGTAAGTTAGTTAAAATCTATGCAATATTCTCAGGTGAAAAATGAGAAACAAACTTCAAAGGTTTGTTCTGAGAATCACATGAAAGTTAAGTATTATAAGCATGCAGGTGGTGTCTGGCTATTTGGACATTCTATTTCAGTACGTTGCAAACCTCATGAATTTATTACACACTTCACTATTCATTCATTCTTCTCTGTGATAGAAGACATCCATTTTCAAATCTGTGGTTTGAAAATAAAAACCACAACTATAAACATTTTCATATTATAGTATCTTTAAGTTTCTAAACATCTTAATTTGTCCTAAAATTATTTCAAAACCACCATCTTTATTGTCCAAGATTTTAAAAAATTTTATTGTGAAGGAGAAATTCTTGCATTAATCCAAAAAGAGGTAAGAACGGCCTGACCATGTTCCAGATACTGCTAATAGCCATGTAACATTTCCCCCCTCAGCAAAACGTTCTGCGCTTTTGCCCCCAACCTCAGGAGGAGCCACAGAAATAGGGAAGAAGTGTGATCACCAAATGATTAAGATGAAGCACTGTTAAGGATTTGTTGCATTATCTTCTGAATTTTAGAAATTAGTGAAATATCCTCAAAAGTGTTAAATCTTTTTTTAATGATTAATTTTATCAAAGTGATAGGCATTGCTATATCCTGAATCAAAGCAAATGCTCAAGGCAGATGCACAACTTTTGCTCACTATCACGACTAAGTGTTGATTATCCCTTTTCCATCTTCCCCTGACTCAGTCTGGTTCCTCTTATATCTTCCCTTAGTAGGAAAGGACAACCAGGTTTTGATGCCATTACCTTATATCCTCACAACACTCCTCCCCCAAGAATGCTTATTTCTTCTGTTCTATCACGAAGCATCACACAAGATGAATTATACTAACCTTACTGTATTCCAGGCATCTCCAAGTTCTCTGGAATACTGCTTTTCAAAATGATCCAACACAACTGTGCATATCTGTTTTGCAAGCTTCCTCTCTGATTTTGCTGTCAGCTATGATGATAAGAAAAAATTGCTGACACATACAGATTTACTCGTCCTCAATATTAGCAGTCATAAAATAGGAACTTTTACATTACTAGTTCTTACAAGGGGGCAATAACTCACATATGACAAAATTCTAATTTATTGCATTAGGATACTCTATTTATGGAAAATGAGTGGGTTTCTGCAAAAGACAGCACTCAAACGGGAAACAAAGGTTAAAGCAGAATCGAGTGGTGTTAACACAGGAAACTGTCAAAAGAAACAAATTAACTTAAATGATATGTTAACATTAGGGACAAATGGGCAAATAGCATATTAGAAAGTGTGTAAATTTAAAAGTCAGGTAAATCTAAGACTGTTCCAAATTAAAAATTTATTCAAGAAAAGTCACCAGTTTTTTTCTGGAAATTTCCTGGCAATTCGATTTCATAGACTCATTCAAGGAGAGTTAACCGAGGACTTCTTATGTACCAGGCACTGTTCGAATCTCCCAGGGGAGAGAAGTTACAATAAAGTCTCAGCCCTCGAGGAGCCTGCTTTCTGCTCAAAGCTGAAAGGAGGTGGCACCAAGCCCGCGGGTTGCAGCGCGGGGACACGTGAACTGGGGCGGGGGAAGAGTCGCAAAAAAAAACCAGAAAAACGGACAGAGCGCGCAAGAGCAAGCGTCAGGGCTGGGGACAGTGAAGCCGGAGGACCCGGGGCTCGCCAATTCCCCCTTTCCAGGCCCCTTTCCTCGCCACCCCGGTCCCGTAGAGAAGTGTCTGGTTCGACTCAGAGGTGGCCGGTCGGCTCCCAGCCCTCACCCGCGTCCACATCATCCCGCCAGGAGATGCCAAACAAAGCCCTGTACCGCAGGCATCTAAAACCTCCGCGGAGTCTAAGAGCAGCAGGACTTCCGGGACCCGCCGGATATCGCAGCGCCCCCTCGCTTTTCCGGTTCAGCTTGCCGCGAGATAGGGTTTGGCCGGGGCTATCGAGCCCTCCCCGGAAGCCTAGTCCCGCGAGAGGCACGCGCGAAGTCGCTGCAGGAGAGTCTGGCGGAGGCGGGGCTGACCTCCAAGGGCGTGGCCGGGGCTCGTGGGCGGAGCCTTGAGCGACAGCAGCTGGAAAGTCACGCCTCGGGCTCGCAGTTGGCAGTGTGCGTTGAGATCCAGTGAAAGAATTGAGACCTTTGCATCATTAGGTTTTGTTGTGTGGTCATTGTTTTTGATTGTTCACAAAGGCGAAGCTGGTTACTGAATTGATCTATCAAATCTGATCGCCCCTGTTAGCCTAGAAATTCAGAACTCAAGATAAGAGGTGAATGTGAATAAAGAAATGATGAGGCATTTCCTACATAAGCCCAATTGGGATATGCAAGTAAATCGCTTACCACAAAGAGTAGGAAACAGTAAACACCCCATGAGATCTGCTACTGTGTATTATTTTCACCATCATGATCATCGTAATTATCACGTTCTGATACCAAATTTCTCAAGACCAAAACCACTGTCCACACTAGCTTCCCCACCACTCCCTAGTAGGGTCAGTGTTACTGCTACTCTGGGAGTTACCACTCCTGCTAGACATAGCAGTTCACTTGCTTTTTTTAGCGTTATTCTTCATATTTCCTTTCTAACTGCTATTGGCATTTTTTCAGAGACAATCAATGCTTAATATGGGGATATTTAATGGTGTCCTTATAAAGAGGAAATGTGTCCTAATAAAGAGAAAATGTGTACACAGAGAAAAAAAACCGTGAGGACACAGAGAGAAGGCAACTGTATGCAAGCCAAGGAGAGAGTTTCAGAAGTAACCCTCATGACACTATGATCTGGGACTTCCAAGTTTCCAACACTGAGAAAATAAATTTCTGTTCTTTAAGCCACCCAATCTACAGTATTTTGTTATGGCAGCCACAGCAAACTAATAAATATCTTAAATATAAATGTATGTTTAAAATGTTCACTGAAAAGGATTTATTATAAAAACTTGGAAACCACTGATTCACTTAAGTCATTAATCCCCACTATGTCCTCATCAGCACGCAGAAGGAAGTTGCAACTCAGTTTCTAAAAAGGCAGATTATTTTCTTCCTATTTTCCCTTTAATTATGAACTGATTCCGGGCCTCCCCGGTGGCGCAGCGGTTGAGCGCTGGGTTGCGAAGCTGCGCGCGGCCTCTGCGGCGCCGGTTCGATCCCCGGCTGCTCCCTGGCTACCGGAGGAGGGTCCCACATGGCGCGCAGACCTCTCCTGCTGCCCGCTGCTCCCCTCAGCAGTGTACTTCGGTCCTTCTGCCTGCCCTGCTCCCCGCTCTGGCTCTGGTGAATTCTCTCACCCTCCCGCGCTTCTGACTGTACCCAGTGCATGTATAAACAAAACAAACAAACAAACCAGCAAACAAATAAATAAAGCATGCCTCTATTAAAAAAAAAAAAAAAATAAGTAAAAAAAAAATTATGAACTGATTCCCTTCATTGAAGGACATTGACTTTTTCAGTGTTCTGTTACTGTTTACAAAGCTAATATTTTTATTTTGATAATTTATACCATACTTCAATGTAAATTTTGAAGTATCTCAACTTGTTCTTTGGATCAGCTGGGGTATATTTCCTGATTAATATTAGCATATCTCAACAGCAAAGTATATACTTAAAAAATGTTAGGTATTAAAAAGTCAAGGACAATAAAGTTTATAACCTATGGGTTGATTTGTGCAGTTTCACTTTTATAAGCTTTCGTCATCTGGAAACAATGGACTAATTTAGGGAGGAACGGGAGTAAGTGAATAACATAGCATTTAGAATCCAGGATCAAGTCAAATATTGTAGCAAAAGAACACTTAATAAGCAATCAGTTGCAAATATAATGGCAGTAATTCATACTTGAAGGTGTTCTGAAGGTGTTCTGGCTATTCACAGCTACTTTTACAAATTGAGTTCTAGTCCTCATTTGACACAAGAGCATTTCATTTTAAACATGCAGAAAAATGGCAAATAATTTTTACCAAATAATTTAAATAATTTTTACCAAATCATAAATTTGTTTCCTCTATTATAGAAGGTGTCCAAATTACAAAATCTAAAATTTTGAGAAATATACACAACAAATAACCTTTAAAAAATTCACTATTACCATTTTGCAAACTTCCTAGTGTTGCTTTCTTGAATAGTTTTAGGCTTGAAATCAATTATAAGCAGTAATTTTATATATGTCATATATATATATTTTACACATCTAGGCATAAAGAATTACTTTTGAATGAATAAAAACTATCTTTTGGTCAGTAGGTCTAACTTAAATGATATCAAGTCTTCTAGAATAGTAAGATAAAAGGATATTATACTGATCTGTCTATAAAATGACATTTTTTTCCTCACAATTAAATTTGGAGACAAAAATATTTATCTAAAAATCACAAAATATGTATTGGCATACTACATTAATATATTAGTATCTTAAAATGTCTGTCAATAGCCATAGTTTAAAAATCCTATCCTATTTTATTAACCAAAAGAAATAATTTAAATTCATCAAATTAATGAAAAGAGAAAAAGCATATTGATTTAAATTATTTTTATTGTGTGAAAATGGCATAATTCATGATGATTAATAAATGTAGCATATAAAAAATAGGCATTTAGTTGTGAAGTTACTTGGATTGATAAAACAGCTTTTAAAAAAGTTTTAGAATGCCTTAAGAAAACAAATTAAAATTTGGATATATAAACCATTTATTACACTTCATATTTAATTTCAAAATCATTTTATTTACTCTTATTAAATGAATCCAGTAATTATTATATACTATAATAATCACTGTAGGAAACAAAAGTTTTAAAAAAACTTGTATTTACTCTCAAATTAGATGAAAATTATAAACATAGCAAAAGTATGACTTTAGTTTTTTAAAATGAACAAGTATAGATGTTACAAAATGAACCAAAACAAACAAGCTTTCTTCTCTAAAATCCAATGCAAAGTTTATAGCCTATCTTCTTGTGCTGCTTTTCCTCATATTTTAGCCTCCTATCAAATTTAAGTTGTTAGGAATTTTATACCTAAAGTAAATATAAAGCTTTTTATTCAGTGTGCCAAATAGGTCCCGTGTATAAAACTCTTAAGAAATTATGTATGATGCTGACTAGAGTAATAAGTGACTGATTAATGAAAATTTAAGGTATTTAAACATGTGACTAAAATGTGATGTTCTGACATATTAAAAATAACCATACTAAACTGCCTTAGAAATAATTATATGTTATTATCAGATATCAGTCTACTGTCACTATAAGTTATCAACCTAACCAATTTTAACAAGGTGGTAAAGGAATTATACTGTTTAGTCTTGATATTAACATATGTTTTCAATTAAACATAACATTTTGAATCTATTACTTAAAATATGCATCTAAATGTGTGCCTAAACGCCAAAAAGAAAATCCTATAGATGATATTCTTAAGTGCAAGAAAAGTGCTATTATTTTAAATTGAAAAATTATTCTGGAATTATTTCTTATAAAAGTAATTTTGAGCTAACATTTTTATTCTTATTGCTTTAGTGTCTCCTGGTTGTAAAGAACAAGTCTCTGGACCTACAGCAGCTTTTTCAATCTTTTTTTTGCCTTTAAGATCAAGGCATGAAAGAATTAGACTACGCTAAGAGTCACTAGCTTCTAACAGAACAAGGTAGTTAGAAGGAGCACTTCTTGATCTCTGAAAAGTGTATCCCTTAAAACAGCTGTTTACTGGGACTCCTAATATTATCTCACATAATATTTTTAATTTAAAAAACATTTAGGTAAAAAAAGTATTTTATGCCTCTTTCATTTATTTTGCATTATCAGCAAAGAAAAGAAACAGTCCAAAACTGAACATTCTTCTTGGGTAGCACTTTCAAATAACATAATTTGGTAGAATAGAGATCTGAGAATCTATTTTAAAAAAGGTGTTACTTTGAAATTAGGTGAAATTGGGATGGACACTTCAAACTATTATAAAGCATACCTCAACTTCTATTAGTATATTCTGTGTGTACAGTTCACGTTTGTCAAGTTAATCAACTCCATTTTTCCAGACACAATTTAAATAAAGCATCTATAGAAAAGTGCAGTCAAGACCATAGTAATTAAATTCTTAAAACTAAATTTTTAGAAAAATATAAAAAGTTAAAAATTTAAGTTATAAATTCCCAAGAGTTTCCCTTCCATACACATGTATCTTACAAAACATGTTTAAGATATAGAAATAAAGACTATTAAACGAAGAGTAAAGAATGTGTGCAGAGTCCATTGGCTCTTTTTCTGAAGATGTTATCCTTCAGGTCATGAGCAGAGAGGGTTAAACCAAAATCAACACAAATCTTCCTTACTTGGTCCAAATGCTCATTCTGTCTGCTGGGCATTTTGTTTCCTTTTTTTTTTTTTTAAGTCATGAAGAGCATGGGTAAGTAATTATTAGATCAGTTAGATCTTTGGCTAGTAATCTCTTCATGGAAATCATTTGCCCAGTAAAATTCATATTTCTGTCATCAAAGTTCAGTTTTTCTTCTTCGAGAAAGTCCGACCTTCACTTCATCCTGTGATAGTCAGTGCACTCCTCCACATGACTTGGGTTATGAGATCACATCATGAGCATCACTGTTAGGTCTGTGTCGCACAACCAAAGGAGGCAGTGGCTTCCCATAGAAATCTATGTGAAGAAGGGAAACCAAAAACACGATGGTTATGGCAGATCAAGATTTTTTTGAAAGAATTCATCATTTTCTAATCAATACCTTTAAGACACTCATTTGACAGGTGAAGCAACGGGTAGAGAGAATAAGAAAAAACATTTGAATTCAAGAAAAGGAGAATGAATACATTCTAAACACAGCACTTGGGTAAATTCCTAACTCAAGATCAGAAATTAATCTCAATTTAATAAAAAGCTATACCTAATGTATACATTACTATTATTGTTGTTGTTTCCAATTATACATTCATGTTATAATGTAACAACAAATATTCAAAATCTATGGAACCTGTCACCAAAGGCCTAATACGTCAGCATTTGCATAACCCACTTTCTTATTAAATGGCTATTCTAGGTATTTGGGAAGAAGAATTAATTATTTTATTAACTTTGTGATAAGTAGGAAACCTATACAATGAGGTTTCAATATTGTTCAGTGATTTGAAACCTATATGACAAAATGGAGTTTTATTTTATATTTCACAAGTTGTTGCTATTCCTAATTATCACAAGTGGGCTTATAAATTTAGTAGCATATGTAAATCTTCAGTAAGTAATTACATTCTAGCCTATAACCTTAAAATTATTCTAGAGGCATATGTGTTCAGGGTTACTTGAAATAAACATATTTAAAATGTAATAGGGGGGCCTCCCCAGTGGTGCAGCGGTTGAGCGCTGGGCTGCGAAGCTGCCCGCAGCCTCTGCAGCGACGGTTTGATCCCCGGCCACCGGCGAGGGTCCCACATGGAGCGCAGACTTCTCCTGCCACGTCCACTGCTCCCCTCAGCAGTGTACTTTGTCTGTCTGCCTGTTCTGTTCCCCGCTCTGGCTCTGGTGAATTCTCTTACCCTCCTGTGCTTCTGACTGTACCCAGTGCTTGTATAAATAAATAAATAAATCTTAAAAAAATAATAAAATAAAAGGTATAAGGGGCCCATTTCCTGTTCCGCATGTGTCAGAGTTTTTTTTTATTAATTAACTAACTCCATGATACTGCTACCTCAGCTTTTTTTTTTTTTAGCTAAGTGGTCTGCAGGGGGCTTCAAACGGATGCATACCTACATAACAGACTTTAGAGTGACAAATAAAAGAAAGTTCCTGATTTGTCTTCTCCAATGACCCTTATGATCAATAATTTCCCAAATACCCCAAGGCCTTCCACTGGTGCATTATAAGACCCCTGAGAAGGATACCAACACTCTACTCTGTCTGCTGTGAATTGACTGATCTGATCTTAGCGTGGGAATCCCAAAACACTCCACTCACAAACCCGAATAAAAACATGTGTCCCAGGTTCTGTAGCTCTCTCTACCTGTACCTACTTTAACCTTCTTTATAGAACCCTGAAGACCTGCAGTGTACTTCTTCTAGGACTGGAATTAATGTCTATTTCAACTTTTCTTGTAGTCTTTTGTTCAGGCTCACCCAACTAGCACTCAGGGCTTCTAACAAATTTAACAAAGTCAACGAAATATAAGGATCTTGAAAATCATCACTCCATTTCAGTAATAAATAAAAAACTGAACAGAGTGTAAAATCAACAACTCTTCTGGATCCGAAAGAGAAGGGAGGTCACAGGAAACCACTGCCCCCAACACTGGAGAGACTGATAGGTGAGTACAGGGATTTATCATGCAGATAGATACTCATAACCGGAAACTGCCAAGGGAACCAGTGCCCAGCTAGGAAAACTTAAAAATCCACAGCCCAGAGGCACAGGCTCACTAAAAGACTGAGGCCTACTCACAGGACTACAGAATGCTTCCCCAAATGCCATATCTCGCTATCGCAATCACCAGCAGTTCCCTTTTTTCCCCCCTAAAGATTTATTAATTTATTTATACAAGAACTGGGGTATAGGGTGGATCCATGGGAGGGTGAAAGGATTCACCAGAGACAGAGCGGGGAACAGAAGAGGCAGACTGATGAAGTACACTGCTGAGGGGAGCAGTGGGCTAGGCAGGAGAGATCTGCCCCGCCATGTGGGACCCTCGCAGGCCGGTGGGGATCAAACAGGCACTGCAGAGGCTGCGGACAGCTTCACAGCACTGCGCTCAACTGCCTGTGCCACCAGGGGAGGCTCATCCAGCAGTTCCCTTTAGCAAGCACATCACCTGGCTATCAAGGAAAAATCACCAGGCATACCAAAAGGTAAAAAATACAATTTGAAGAGATAGAGCAAACATCAAAACCAAACATGACAGGGATGTTGGGGCTATCCTTGAAATTTAAAACAATTATAATTCATATCCTAAGGGGGTTTGGTGGATCAAGTGGGACAGAGTTCAAGGACAGATGAACAGAGAGATGGAACGCAGAGAGATGGAAATCTATAAAAGAACCAAGCAGAAATGTCAGTAATCACAAGCACTGTAACTGAAATAAAAATACCTCTGATGGTCTTTTTCAAGCAATTATAAATTCAAAGCAATTACAAAGCTCCAAAGGTGCACTAATAAATCACAATGTAGTAGTATAACATAGAGAATTAAAGGTATGGATTTCAAAATTCCGCCATTTATTGGCTATGTAACCTTGGGGTACAAGTTCTTCATGAACAAAAGGAAAATTATCACTGTTCACCTAAGAAGTCCATTAGGAGAATTAAAATGAAATAATGTACTACCTCAAGTGCTACCTATATGCTAGGCACACAGCATACACCATTATTACTGCTATAATTAAAATTATCATTGTTGTTATTGCTGAATTAAAATTCTAATAGATACTCAATTATTTTCATAAATTAGAAAAACAAAAATAATAAATAAAATAAAAAATGCCCTTTCTTGAATTCAAAGTTAATGAAAAATTTTGAAACTTAACAGAACTCACAATTAAACCACAGTAAATATATTTTCTAATATATTTTTTCAGGTAGAATTTAAATTATGCTTCTAAAAAGATAAATACATATTAGGAAGTATCTTTTTCTTTCTCCCAAAATTATTTTATTTCTGCAGTTCATTTTGTATTAGTTCTTAGTCAGAAAATTAAATCACCCTATTCAAAATTGGTTCCTAACTGTCTTAACTGTAAGATATATAAGTACATTTTAGCACCCAACTATTTAATTGCTAACAATTTTAATAAAGCGTTCAAACTTTTTAAAATGAAAAATTAAATAGTAAAACTATACACAAAATGTTATCTTCCCTCTAATTTTAATATTTGAAAATATTCCTTTGTGCATTTATTATCGTTAACTAACAGTATATTTGATTCATTTGTCATAAGATACAATACATGAAACATAACATTGATACAAGTATGGATTAAAAGTGTTTACAAAGTGCAAATATATTAGCTTTTTAAGTTACTTCTCTGAATTCATCTCTATTACCTGTGCCAGCTTTATAGGCAATAAAAACAATTAAAAAAGTGAATCAAATCAAGGTAAATGCTCATAATCAGAGAAAAAGTAAGACTCTTGACTTAAAAATTCCCAGCCTGACTATAATTATTTTTCATCTTTATAAATTTTTTAAATACAAATTAATTACAGTCAACAAGCATCTATTTCAGTAGAAACTTCATCTAGTATCTCTTATCTACTTCCCATCAACCAAATACAAAGAAATGTATAAGGAAAACCAGATGTAATTATATAGTTGTCACCTATAAGCACCTTAGATAGAGATATTAAACACTAAAAGCTAGTATTTTTATTAAAACTTTTCATTTATTATACCGACTTTCTTTTTCATTAATGAAAGAGTCTTGACCATACTTTTTTATAAAACCCAAGCTCAGTAAACTTCATTTTAATATTCAGTAGTTGAGTCTCTTATTATGAGTAGAAAAAGAACAAAAATGTGGCATCATCGTTAAGTACAATGAGCATATGTAGGAAACCACAGTTTTATAACACAATAAATATGTATTATATTTAAATTAAATTATTTTAAAACCTTTACCTTTTCATAATTGCACAAATATATAATAAACACAAGCTAAGATTATTTTTACCTATCTAAGGTAAATAGCAAATCAAATTACATACAAGTCAAATGCACTTAAGAATAAAAATAAATAAAAAATTTAAAAACGTATAATGGAAAAGGATAGTTGTGGATTGAAAAGGCTCCCCAAAATAAAAGTTTGTTGAAGGACTGAAGAAAAATGCATGTAACATGTACAGATATTTGAAAACTGATCCTTTTGCATTACCATTATGACGTGTTTCACCAAGAGGTTCAAGTTTTGGAAGTCTAGTGACTTTGGGGGTTCCCCAGCCAACTAAAGAAAAAGAAAAACATTTTAAAGCACTGTTAAATAATGTCTCTTTACGTCTGTTGAGAGTGTTTCCTTCTTAGACAAGCTGTGTGCAATATTCAATTTTAATTCAAATACATTGAATGACACAGGGGCAAATTGACATAAATCTATTCAATGATTTTTATTTAAAGATGTAATTATTGATTGGTAACATCAGCAGTAAGTTTCTATTTACCTTTATTTAGCTGAAAATATAAGCACCTCCATTGCCATCATTAATATAACCTTTAACTACTACTATTCTAACCCCTAACAAGGGCTGAAAAAATTGTTTATTAGATTGAAATGAATCTTAAAATCATACTCAAAGGAAAATGTTAACATGCAAAGTCTTCTAGCAGGGCTTAAAGAACACTATAATGTATTCATTTAGATACTTTTTGAGCTCTTAAAGTAGCATGCATAGTGCTGAAAAATTGTAATTACCCAGCATTAGTATGTGTTTACATGCAACACTGTTTTCCTCTTAACAACTGCGCAATCAATACATATGTTAGAAATATAATGGGGAAATTCATACATCTTGGTTTCAAATATTAATTTTCAAGGATAAACATCCAATTTTTTCAAAGCTCATGTTAGCCGTCCATTCATTAAGCTTAAACTCCTTTTAGCAATAAACTCCTTTTAGCAATTTCAAATGGGACTTGAATCCATTCTAGGAAGATTTCCTAAAGTTCTTACCATTTTTTCCTTTGTAAATTTTTTGTCTGATTAAAAAAACAACATATACACTGACAAATTTTGAACAAAGTAGACAGAACAAAGTATTCTATCTTTTTCACAGGTACAGATAATGAATCTTACTAACTAAAAATGACTTAATTCTTTTTCTTTTTCTCCATTGCTTAAAGCATTATTTCTAAATTCTGCATCACTATCAATTTACTCACCGGGAGGAGGAGGTGGAGGTGGTGTTGGACTCTTTGGAGTAGAAGAATCATCAGTATTCACTGGTTCTACCCGGTGACTCCGCTTTATTCTTAGCTTCTTAGTTTTCTTTTTACTGTTATCTATAAGAATATAAACATGGAACTTTATGCCTTTGGGAAAAAGTAAACTTCAATAGTAAGAAATTAAGAATAAAACTAAAGTATTGATATTATTCTCATTAGCTGGTATCGTCATGAAGATCTAAATGAATCTTGAACAAATTACTACTAATAATGAAACCTGCCTTCACTAAGAATAAATTGTTTAAATGATTGCTTATTGAATGATTAATGAATATGACACAAACAGCAAAATGTCTATATCTTCGGTTCACAGTACAAAGTTAGTTTACAATTACAAAAGTTACATATATTTTCCAAATGTTACATTAAGTAAATATAATTGTCTAACTGCAGGCATTTCCATGAAACACAGATGGCCTGATGAAAGCACATATCTGTTGATTTATCTCAGGAGGATATGCAGAATGATCCAAGGGATAATTGATTCTAGAATAATGCTCTGAAATGTAAAAAATGACCCCAATAAAATCTAAAGACATTACCCATTAAAATATCCCCCAAACAAGCTATGCCCAATATAAATATATTTAAGCAAATCACATTAGTAGACATTGCAGAATTGAATTTATGTTCTTTCTCAAAATGATTATTTACAGACTGTCACTTAAGCACATATAAACATTTTGAGGCCATCCATGTTGTTAACATATAAACTGCAATAATGTAAATCAGGATAGCATAGCAGTTGAATAACCAAACATGAAATTCATTGAAATATTTTAATTGACAATCCCAAACTGCTACATTTGTGTGTATATATACATACATATGTAATACATTTTTAACATGAGAATTATGTTACATAAGAAATAACCAACATCTATGAAGCAAAGAGAAATATAAACATTTATAATGCATTGTTTTTCTAAATAAGTGTCATTTGAAACATTTACTCCAATGGGAACAAAAACGTATTTTCACAACTACACCTGTAAGCTGTAAAGCTGGGAGAAAGGAGAGAGAGCCAACAGTACCAAAGGATCCTTTATAATAGGCAGTAGTTCAGTCATGGAAGAGAAGTGGATGTGGAACAGACACCTAAAGTGAGGGTCTCAGCTTAGCCACAGACAAAATGTTTGATCATGAACAAGCTACTCAAGTTTTCCTCATCATTATCATGAGAATAATATACTCTAGGACCGCTGTGTTCAATCATATCAGCCATCTGAAATCATGTTGCTAAGTATAAGATATGTTAATTATAGTAATTATTATAGTTATATGACTATTGTAGATCTTTCTATATTATATTTTCAAATCACTTGCAAATCCCTTTGCTGTTTAATAATGCAAATTGTTAGAGTTCTTTCAATATATTGGGAAAACATATTAAGTCTCCTTTCCATTTAATCCTGTTCATAGTGCTATATGGAAATGAATATGACAGTCCTAAATTCCCAACTTACAAAAACAATTAACTTTCAAATCTTTGTATTCACTACACAGCAGAATATCCATGTTACCTAATCTTCATCTCAGGGATAGAGATCTTAATTTCATAAACTCTCTTGATACTGTACAAAAATTCTTACACACAATGGAACCAACTTACTAACTAGAAATGGCAGGGAAGTAATGATTACTGGATATTGCCTTGAGCTAGAAATACTGTAGGGTTATTTTTACTATAAATAACCCTAAAGTCCCTGTGAGAAAAGATTAAGATGCTTATCTTCACTTTAGAGATGAGGAAACCAAGACTGAAGATATACCATAGCACCTATCTAATAGATGGGAAAGTCAGGATTCTATCCCAGGTTGTCTATTTTCAAACACAGGCTGTCGCTCTATGACACCAAGAGACATGAACATAACGATTTAGAAAAAGAAAAGAATAATGAGTGGGAGCTTTTATATGATACTAAAATAAAAAGAAAGTTAACTATTTGATGAATATTTTTTAAAAGGTAACTGACTACTTCTGGATCCTTTAGAAATAATTCAATAAAGGAAATGATGCTGCTTGTAGCCTCAGGCTTAAGAACAACATGGTAACAACAAAATGCCTTAAAGGTATTAAATACATTTTAAGAATCTCTGTAGGTATGCTGCATTCCAAATTTATGAAAATGGAATTTTCTGCTAAAATGCTTTTAAGTTGTAAATAACTACATTTTAAGGTATAATGAATAAAAGTGTTAAGTTAGGAAATTATTGACTAAAAATCATGATTAGTTACAGAATTTGAAGACAAAATAAAATTTTTATGAAAATAACACATGAAATATGTATAATTAATTTTAATATATAATATACAGTAAAGTTATTAAAATTATATATGTTATATATACATTAAATAACTAGATTTAACACCTGATTCTGATGATCGCTGGTCTGTCTCATCTTCATTCTCCAGCTGCTGTGTTAATGCCTCCTTATAATTTTCCACTATTCCAAACTCATTGTTTTTTTGGCTACTATCACTGATCTGGCTCTCTGTCTCCAAATGCTCATGAGCCGGGCTATGTTTCAGAGAGCAGCTATCACAGTCATTCTCCTTACTTTGCTTCTTTTTTTCTTTTTCAAGCTTTTTTTCATTCTAACAAAAATGAAATATAACTTTAATATAACAATTATATTTCAAGACAGTTTTAAGGGAGAAATCAAATGATGAAGGAGTATTCTGTCACTTCAGGTCACTGTGATTTTTATTTAAAAATTATTTGTTGAATGTATCATTAAAGCATGTCAACACCAAACATTCAGAAAACACAAATAATATAAAGAAAGAAAACAAGTATTATCCACAAGCTGGAAATGACCACTATTTGGTAAACAGTTAATGAAGAGATGCTTTGCTTTGTTTACCCCCACGCACATACATACACCACCTTCAAACACAGATACATGGGATTGTTTCCCTCTATATATACATATTTGTGTACTTTTTGAAAAAAAAAAAATGAAGTTTTAATTTAAAAATACATATTTTCTTTCCTGTCAATGAATATATGAAGTGCTTTAGAACAATGTCTGATAGGTAGGATAGCGTTAGCGAAGTATCATTTCATGCCATTATATAAGCATTAGCTCTTATTATTTTAATCAACTACATTATCATTTTGAATGTTTATAACTTATTTTACCAACTACCAATCAATAGACAGAGACTTATTATCAATTTTTTGCTATAAGAAATATAATTGTTAAATTAGTTCTTTAGAATTCCTAACAAGAGAACTGCTGATCAATGGGTAAATCACATTTTAAAATGTGATATATTACAAACTGCCCTTAAGAAAACCTAGTAAATTTATGCCATAGACAAAATTACTGAGAAAGTGATAGCCTCACATCTTTTTTAAGGCTTTATATCAATGTCAATTTTTTATATCTCGACCATATATTTTATATAATAAATAAATATTTTATCCTAGTGTTGGTTCATTTTGATTTATTTTAATAATTTTTTGATTATTAGTAAAGATAAATAATGCTGTCATTTTTATTTTTTCTTTATATGACTATTCATGGTAACCTAATATCCATTTTCTGTTAAGATTGTCATTTCATACTAATTCTTAAAGGGTCTTTTTTTGTCCTATGTGTTTCACATATTCATTTGGGTTTGTTTGGGATTCTGATTTCTTGCATTTAACTTTGTAGAACAGATCTTTAAAAATAACTATATTAAGACATATATATTTTTTACTTCATGATTTCTGGCTTGATTGTCCTGCTTTGACAGTTGTTCTTCCATGTATATAAATATTTAACTACATTACTTGCTAGAATTTTTTTTTAAAGGTTTATTTATTTATTTATACAAGAACCAGGGTACAGGTCAGATTTGTGGGAGGGTGAGAGGATTCACTGAAGACAGAGCAGTGAAAAGAACAGGCAGACTGATGAAATACTGCTGAGGGGAGCAGCAGGCGTGACAGGAGAGGTCTGCCCCGCCATGTGGGGGGACCCACCTGGCTGGTGGGGATCCAACTGGCGCTGCAAAGGCTGAGGACAGCTTCACAGTGCGGTGTTCAACCTCCTGAGCCACCAGGGGAGGCCCATTACTTGCTAGAATTTTAAAGCTTTTTTAAAAATAAACTTAAGTGTTTTGAAATCTAATTTGGCAGAGAGTGTTCAGTAGTTTCACTTTTTTTCTTCAAGTGATTCAGTTTTTCTAACATCCTCTTCTCTTAGATTTGAAATTACTTTTATCTTAAAATAAATGCTCATACTTAATTAGGTTTGATACTATTTGTTCCATCAGTCTGCCTCTTGTGGAACCAAGGCCTCATTTTTTATTTTCTGTAATAAAATTAGAGGAAGAAAAGGTGCTTCTCTATAATACAACACTTTAAATGAGAAGGTCTATGGGGAGGGGGAGAAAATTTGCTTCATGAAAAGGAGACTATGCAACATTTCATTTTTTACTTATTTTCCTACAATTACCATAGTTTAAAAGCATAATAACTGAACTCTTCCTATGACACTAATTAATTCAGGAACTTTCAAGTATTGTTCACATCTTCATAGTGTGAAAAATATAATGTTGCTAGAATCTCTCAGGACTCCTAATTTCAACCATGGTACAATACTATAAAGTAATTCACCATTATTTACAGCAAAGTATCTTTTACACATATAGTAAATTACTGGTTTAAAGTGAAAAAAGAAAATTGATTTCCTTTTTCTCTGCCAATATTTTTTAAAGAACATAAAGTAGAACTTGACATACAATATTTAAGAGGATGGAGACAAAACAATAACTCATTATTAAGACAGCTTAATTGCATATAGAAAAGCATATACTTAAGATAAATGTACTGGGGCTAAGTATAAATAACCTGGTACAACTAAACTACACAAATATCTTGTGTTACCAATTATTTTGCAAAATGAAGCACTATTAAAACTATCCAATCATCTTCTTACCTGTGGAGCTGCCTCCCTCCTCAGCAGCAGCCCCAAGGAAGAAACAATCATCCACCTTTCCAGTAAGCACCTGTGTGAAAGGAGGCAGTAACAGGGGAAGGAGAACAGAGAATGTAGGGGTAGGACCAGTAAGCCAGCTGCCATATTTAGCACTGAGCTAATGAATGGAAGTTTAAGTAGCAATGCCTCTAGGGAAGGATGGCTGCTGAAGGCAAAAGAAGGACCAGTGCAAATTCCAGACACCAGAAAATGAAAACAAAGATACACACACACAAACACATACAAAACTTCATAATTAAAATCTGCAAATTAATTTTGGTAAAATTCCTAACAATTGAAACAAGTAATATTTGGATATCGGAGAATTTATTAGTTTCAAACATCCTTAAGTATCTTGGAAAACCAGAAAATCATTTAAATACTCTTAACAATCATAAGCATCTAAATATCACTATAAAGGAATAATAACAGCAATAGTGATAAACACAAAGTTATTAAGCATAAACATATTGCTACCATTTCAAATAAATGTCAAGATTTATAGAACAGCAATTATGACAAGCAGTTATATTCAATCTTCATTTTTATTCTCATTTAATTATGAAGTCATGTTTCCTTTTTCATACTAGATCAAAAAGTAAATTTAAAGAATGAAAAGCAAACCTTTACCCCAAATCTCCATTCAATTACTTTCAAAAATAACTGACCTTGAGTGAAACACTTCTCTCTACCAGCCAGTCCAAACTCCTCACTTTCTTTCTCAACTTCTAACTTTTAACTCAAGATACAAAAAATAATATTTGCCATCATCCATACCTCAATGATTACAGATGCAATTGGCTGGAAAGGATTAACAATAACCGGTTCTGGGTCCAACTCAGCCAAACCACTCTTTCCATCAAGTTCAGCCTGCTCCCGCTCTCTTTGTTCTCTATTGTTGAAGGAGAAAAATTTGGAATTCCATAAGAGAAAATGCTGAACCATGTTTAACAACATTTGTGATAGAAACAAGACTCTAAATGTTAGCAATTTAAACATTTGTACATGACTAGGTAAGAAGTCTCTACTCTCGTGTAAAGATCCATTATTTGACTATTAAAACAAAGAAATGCCAAAAATAGCACTCCCATCAGTAACTTTTTAATGTTAATGGTAAATATTATCTATGTCTCAAGGTTTATTTTTATGATTTTATTAATTGCCATCCCAAACCAATCCTGTCCTCTCCACCGATGTTAATCCTCATAAAGACTATCAAGTTGTATATCATATACGAACAACTTTATAACAACTGTTGCTTTGTAAAATAGAAGAAGCTATAAAAAAAACTGTCCTGTATCACTCAGAATAAATAGTTTCCTATCAGTAACTAGTGAAATGTTTACTGTTTCTGTGATTTATAGTTAAAACTATGCCACACATGAAGAGTTAGTTACTTGAACTATCTGAAGAGAGAAAAATGAACATCGTTGGCCTGCAGGGAGACTATTTAGTAAAACAATATAGATGTTTGTTATTTAACATTTATTAATTATATTATTTCAAATATCTACAATTGTTATACTATTTTCACATACGAACAATAGCTTATTTTACCGTTTTTCAAAAATATCTGAATCAACTAGATTGTAGTTAATGAAGTAATTTTTTTAAATAAATTACTTCTCTCTAAATGCCAATTTACTGTAAATTATGGATTCTCTGCTCAATAAAAGAGGCCACATACTACAAGTAGCATGAGTAGTGAGAAAGAAGGAAAGGGACTGCATCAATACAATAGTTCGCCATAATATAACCTAGAAAATCTTCATGGAAAAGATAAAAACTTGGAAGAAAAAAAGAATTTATCCAACTTAATTTCTTGGTGCTTTTGTTTCTTTAAGGAAAATCAGAAAAATCTTCAGAGAAGGCTGTATCTTTTATTTTTATAAGAATATAAAGGATGTATTTATGTGAATGAGTGTTTGTATTGAACTTTGTATTATAAAAATACATAGTAGTACAGAAAATTCTTACAGGAACTAAAAATTCATCTTGGCAGTTGTCATAATCACCTATCTTCATTCTTTCTTGGAAGTATCAAGGGATGACTCACCTGTTCATATCATTTAACATTTGGGAATAGAGAGTTACCTCTATAAATATTTCTTTCCATTAAGCCCTATCTCAGAGTTAAATGAAAGATACCAGTAATCAGAGGATTTTCTTGTCTGTGTGCACCTCACAAAAGCTTCACCAAGGGAGTTAGTGGTTTCTTTCTACCATGCTCGAACTATCAAAATGTTAAAGCACAGGTACTCCCTGGTGGCACAGGGGGTTGAGCGCAGCACTGTGAAGCTGTCCGCAGTCTCTGAGTACGAGTGCAATCCCTGGCCAGCCAGGGAGATACCCACATGGCGCAGGAGACCTCTCCTGTTTTGCCCGCTGCTCCCCTCAGCAGTGTTTTCGGTCCATCTGCCTGTTCTGCTCCCCGCTCTGTCTCTGGTGAATCCTCTCACCCTCCCGCACCTCTGGCCTGTACCCCAGTTCTTGTATGCATAAATAAATAAATCTTTAAAAAAAAAAAAGTTAAAGCACATGTAAGGCCCGTGTTACTTAGGTAGATGGAAGACAACTTTGGAGCTTGTAGGAGCTCAATTAAAAATCTTTTCATTTCTCTCTTTCCCTATCATGCAATAATCCAGAAGAGAAAGAGAACTCTTAGAATTCACAAAATTCAATGTCTAATCAAATCTGAGTTCTTTTCTGGCTGCATTAAGATTATTATAAGCTATTCAATGGTAGAATTTATATAATCATTACTTTTTGAATTCTGGTAATTTAATTAAAAATTCCTCTTGGGTAACTTTTTTTAAATAATTTTGAAATACTAGTATTAAATATTAATATTAAAATGTTTAAACTATGTTTAACAATTTCATTTACTTTCTGATAAAACTAGTGTTGAAGATCAGATTTTGTTTCAGTTGATTAATCCAATAATGGCTTACTTTCTATTTTTGCTGAGAGTAAAGAAGAGTTTTTCAAATCTATTGATATACTGGGTCCAATAATTATTGTAGGAGATGCCCTGTGATTCATGGGATATTTATTAGGGCCCTTGTCAGCTACCCATGTCAGTGGCACCCCCATCCACCTCAACCCCACCTCCAACTATAACAAGTAAATACGTCACTAGGCATTTTCAAATGTCCTCTAAGAAGCAAAATCATCCTGTGGACTGAGAACCACTTCACAAAAGGTACCCACATAAGAAATAAAAAGCAATAATCATACAACTCTAGGAAATAATAAATACCTAAGGACTAAACTGAACTACTATTAACACTAACTGGAAAATTAGAAAATTATTACCTGCACTGTGTAGAGAAAGATCCACAGAAATAGAAAATTTACCTATTGTCTTCCTCTATACAGAAATGGAAAATTGAATAAATAAAACTAGTCAGTTATTTATAAAACCATCGTTTTCTAACTTCTGAAATGCATTGTGGTACCAAGAAAATTTCAGTCTCTTTATTACCTTTCTTCCCGTAATTTTCGCACACGTTCAGCCCTTTCTCTTTTCTCTTGTTCCTCAAGAGCACGCTGCTCTGTTGTGTCTTTTTGGATGCGTTCATTTAAGGCATCAAAGTCTCTTGCAATGATATGTAGCAGCCAATACAGGCCTTTTTTAATGGACTTGTCAATTTTCTTTCCATATCCCAAGACTGCTGAACAAGGTTCCTGGAAAACAGCAATTACTTGACTTAAAGTTTAAAACTAAAAGTTCTCCATACAAATATACTCATAAACCATAAACCCATTTAAATTAGTGGTAATATAACACAAGAAGTCAATGCTAGTTATATAATTTTAAATAAACTCATTGGATGACAAAATTGAACTGCTGAAAGAAAAATGCCCTACTTATTAGAAATACCTGGAAGTTTTCATTCCATACCATGGAATGTAACCGTAAACATCTATTAAGACTGACAGCTTAATGATCACTTTATTAGATGATTAAAACCTCTGTCCATCTTTCTTAAAATTGTGCAACTCCTCTGATATGATTTTTCAAGTCATTAGAAACCTATCCTAAGTTTAAATTTTCTAATACTTCTTTATAGTTTTACAAAATTTATCATATGACGTGTATATACATTACAGATTCTGTCAGTTATATCTTAAACAAGAGCCAATTTTAAGATATTAGAAATCACGAAAGTTTGTAGAAGTACCTACTAATAGAAACAATAAGACCATGCTGAGTAATGTCAACAGAATAGAGAGAATGTGATTTCTTAGTAAAAAGAAAAAATTCATATAAAACACTAGCAGATTATTTTGTTAGTTGCTTACACCATATTGTCTATCACCTTTCCAAAAACAAAGTTTTACTGAGTATGTCAAAGGGGAAAAAAAAAAAAAACAAACAAAAAAAAACCCCAAACTTACTATTTGACATAGGCACTTGTGTTCATTGACCAATTTTTCTAGAGAAAGACACTCAATCACATCAGCTTCTCCTAAAGCTCCTTCCTTGTCTTGTTTGTTTGCCAACCTAGAGAGACAAATGAAGTAGTTGTATAGCAAATATAGAACTGGATGGTCACTGAAAAATATTATGACCATTATTCTTCTTATTCCAAAGTTCTAAGACTACTCTATAGGCTTTAGAAAGTAATGTCATATGTATTTCATCATTTTACCTTTACTTATAACTGCTAAAATGTTTTATAAAAATTGCTCTGTAAAAGGGATATTGTGTTGTCAAAAAAAAAAAAAAAGCCAATAAGAAAAGCTACAAACAAGAAAAAAAAAGTGGACTAGTTTCTATAGCCCTCACTTTCACATTAACTATATCCTTACTTTATCAAACTAGTTTGCATTCTGATATAAATGCCTTTATCTCATGTCTAAAACTTCTAAAAATATAAGGTGTATCATGTTACAAATGCCTAAATAGTAACTCTGAGTTTGTAATATTGGGAACTATCTGCCTTTCCATTGAGTGAATGCATAGACATAAATATGGAATTTATTGGAGAGGGGAGACTACTTTTTCTGATTACTCTTCATGGCACTGTGCATAAAAAGTATTACTCAATTAGGGGCAAATTTGGTGAACAACAAAATGAAAACCAAAATAGGATCTGGGAAACATTGGAATTACCAGAAAATATTACTATATGCCAATGAGGTGGCAGAGGTAAAAAATTTAATGAAACACTGTCTTGGTGAGGGTTTGATACTTCAGGCAAATACATATTTTAATATAAAAACAAAGAATATATATGTTCATCATATAAACATTATACAAATAATGAATCCCTGTCATCTCTTTAAAAAGTATCAACATCGTGACATTGTTGTTTGTCTACATATCTTCTACTTTCTCCCCTCATGTCACTTCACCAAGACTTAAAAAACATTGCCATAATACCATTACACCTAAAAAATTTATACTCCCCAATCTTTCTAGAAATGTCATGGCCAAAAATTCAAATCCAAACCAGATACATATTATAAATTATTCTTTTAAGTCTTTCTGTACCACTTCTGTTTTTCCCATAACATTTGCCTGTAAAATAAAACAAGAAACTTTTCTATAGAATTTCATACAATTGGGATTTGGCTAAGCTTTTCCTTATGGGGTCATTTAATATACAAACCCTGCGTTTCCTATATCTACTAGAGTTAGATATACAGGTTAGATCAGGCACAAGTTGAAATCTTTTAGTGATCATATTTTATAAGATGGTGATGTCATCTCTGCCACTTTTTTTCTATTCCTTTCATTCTACTAGAGGTAGTCATTTTCATTAGTTTTAGTTCATTCTCCGATTGTTTCTTTTTGAAAATATAAACAAGTATATAGGGAAAATTTTAATGACCACAATTTGGGTACAATGAATACTTACTGCTATTGCCTGAAATGTGTGTTTTGTGTCTATCCTCCTTTTATTTCTCAAAAGCTAGCATAGTAATATCAATACACATGCTACGGACCACCAAGCTTTTTTTTTTTTTAACCAAGCTTTATTTTTTTAACAGAATAGTAAATTCTGAAATGACCCTGAGCAGTAGAAAGAAATCTTCCTTACTACTTTTTAAAGTTGTAAAATGCTTACTGTATGGAAGTTTTATCATTTGTTTATTCAGCCAGTCCTTTACTTAAGGGCTTGTTTCTAATGTTTTCTTTTTACAAAGACTACTGTGAAGAATAGATGTGTGAAGGAATTATTTCTTATTTTGGAAATCAAAGAATAAATGCAAATCTATCTATTTTGATAAATATTATAGCAATGTCCCTACTCTCAAACTCAAATCAAATCATAACTCAGAAAAAAGGGGATGGCGAAGAATTCAGTGGTGTGTGAGAAACTGTTCTAATTTTTCCTAAAAATATTTAATTCTGATAAATTAATTCTGAATTGCTTATAAGAACAATATGTGTTTATTGAACACAATAAGTGTTCAATATGAATACTTTAAATATATTACTACACAATTTTTATCTATATAGAAAACTACAGTAGGCATTTACTAACGTAAGGTGGAAGGAGTAAAGACATGAACACTATTCTGGAAACTACAGTTCTCAAATTCTACCTTTTTTTTTTTAGTTAAGCCCTTGAGGTTTCATAAAAGAATTCAATCATTTTAAAATAAATGAAGTAAAAGGCATTTTTACCAAACTTTTCCCCATTCCAACTTAGTTAAAAATCTGTGTCAGTAAGTTTTGATACCCAAAGGAAAGAGTAAGCTTTGTTTAACAACCCTCCCTTTTTGTGAGTAATGCATCTTATATATAACTCAGCACTGGAATCAGAGAGTCATGGCGAAAATACTCCATGCAAGCAATTTAACAAGGACTTCCTGTTACTAAGGGCTCCAATGAAAATGATCTTCCTTTAATCTAAAGAATGGGTGGCTAACAGGCAGAACCGGATTCTCCAGGTGTGAAGCAAGCTATTTGTTCTTCTCATTTGATATTAACAGGGAAAGGACAACTTTATCTCTAACTTATTTGACTTTATTATCCGGCTCTCAATTAAGCATACAGAAATTATCGTGTGAATTATACTAACAAGATTTAAGCAACTTGGTAAAACATAATAGATGATATGCAGATTTTCTCTCTAAAACAGGACTCCAACACTACAGGTGGAAAAGCAACAAAGGAATCAAGACAAAAAGGTAAACAGACCATTGCTTTTGGGGGTTTGGGGAGTTTTTCCTTGTATTTTTTTTGGTTTCTTTTTGTATTTTTAATAAGACATCCATAGACTGAAATCTGGTAAATTGTGACATTTAAAAATTGCTTAACAGATAATTAGTTACTTGCTTTGCTCAGATTTGGAACAGGCTACAGGCACAAAATCTGTTCACATATACTACTGATACATTACATGGAATTTTGGTGTAGAGCTCTTAGAAACAGACCACTACATTAAAAACTAGCTTTTTCTTATTAAGTCCCTTAAAAAAATAATTTATTTTTGAAAAACGGGAAAGTTAGATACTACCAAATTAAAAAAAAGTTCTTTCTTATAGACAGACTATAAATTAGTCATACTGTGCTTGCTTTAAAGAATGCCACTACATTTAACTCTTAAAAGAAGTCTATGTACGTGTATAGTCTTTAAAGATACTTTTCTATGTCTTAAATTTCTTCCTTCTTGTTTCCCAGAATCTTTGAGAGGAAATTTTAGAAAATAATTTGTTGTAAAGGGACTAGTCTGAAATATCGACATACTCACTTCCCTATTGGTTCAGCTAATATACTGAAAGTAATTAAATTATAAAATTTGATGTAAACATTATATATGATTTGACAGTGTTAAAATTTTAAGCCATCACCATTTAAGTGCAACATATATAGGTACATCTCATACTTTCAAAAATTAAGCAATAAAGACAAGATTAAACAGAATATATATTTCATGATTTTATAATTGATTGGATTAACTGTTATGTTAGAATCTAACAAATAATTCATTTCAAGTCAAAATAAAACTGAATTTTAATAGGTGTTTTAAGGTGGACTAGAAAGTTGGCTATCCAATATCTAGAACACAATGTCTTGGCTATACTATTTTACATTTAACATAAAAATATTTTATTTATAAATAGCTACTTCAATCAAGTAAATGAGATTCCAAAACTACACAAGATGTTAATATTTTAAATAATGGTCTTCTTTTTAAAGTTAGTTAATAATTAACAATTTACTTACCTATACCAGATTAAAAGTAGAATAAAAGAGCCCTGAAAGATTACATTACAAAAAAATTTTATAATGTAAACTTAGAGGAGAAACATGCAATTTGTAGTCATTTTTTTAAATTTGTTTTCCTCATTTAAATTGCCAGAGGTGAATATTCAATTAAGATCAGATGCTTTCACCTTGAACTATAAAAATGTTGAAAGTTGTCTTGATACACAAACACAAAAGTATACTCCATTTTATGTTAGATAAAAACTGGTTACATTTCTTGAAATATTTATTTAATCAATGTAGTAACTATAGAAAGAAAAGTCTTACTGAAAAAAAAATGTATAAATTGCTATATTATCTATCCCCAAGGCATATTTCTTAAAGCACTAGATAATTTTATTCATGCTTCTGTTACTGGAAATGTTCTTTATCTGTGGAGATACCTATTCTTTGTGGAGAACATTTCCTTTGAGTAATGCAAGTTAACTTTCCTATTCCCCAGACTAAACTGTCAAAGATAATTACCATACATAAAAATAAATGTTCTAATTTTCTTCTTGCAAGTATGTTTAAGCCTAAAGATGCAGTCAGTTATTGTCACTACAACTCAAAACTGGATAGTAATGCTGTAAGTTAAACATACTGGAATACGATTCAATTTGGACAGACTATGTGACAGTAAATTTAAGGTACAGAAAACATCCCATAAAATGATCTAAATTTTACCTAGCATAAGCAATTAAATGATTTCACAACTATGAGCTTAATATTTTATGCTTTCATAAACTCTCATCCAATTTTCAAATTCTAATATGCTTAAAATCTCACTTTGCCCAATATTCTAATTTATGAAGATATAAAAATCAAACAATTAAATTAGAAAGTTATGAATATAGTTATGAGTATGCAACCACTAGAAAATGAAATTTTCTAAGTGCACCTAAATACCCACATTAAGTCAATTTCTGCACTGATGAACAAGGATTTGGGGAACATTCTGAAATAACTAACTATGACTTTCAGTTAAGATGCAGAGATACAGAAAGTATTCCCTTTAGTTAAAAATATACAGAAATATTTGCTCTAATTTTAAGGATAAAAAGACAAATTTCAAAACTATCATTACATATGACACTAAGAAAGGTTAAATTTCTAAGTGCCATAAATGAAGAGGGAAAACACTCGTAGCCAAAGTGGAAAGTAGGAATTAAAGTAAACTCGATTGGACTACTACAAGTAAATAATTTACCTTAGTGACAGGGATTTAGGATTTGCGCACAATAGAGAACTAAAACTGATTTTCCTAGATAAGTAATAAACTAGATAAAATACAACATAGC